AGAGAGAGAGAGAGAGAGAGAGAGAGAGAGAGAGAGAGCTAGATTGCCTACTGCAACCCCGTAAATTGACCTGCCTATGTCCCGATTAATCCAGGATCCCCCTCTCCTTTGTTACCCACATCAAAGCTACCACCCCCAAACGAAAAGGACTTACCTACAATCTCAAGTACTGGGTACTGCGTTCGGCACGCACCCATCAATCATCCATTGTCTGGAAATGGCGGAGAATGTTGACGAGACGCTGAACGTTTTCACACGTCGAGAGTTAAAATACACGAATAAGAAAAAGTTTATTTCTTTTGAAAGAATGTATTGTACCCAAATATTGAGCAACATATTAAAAGGGGATTAAATTAATACGTAGGTTATTAAACGCTACACGTGGAAATCACAGGGTAAATAAGGAAGTTGGTTTACCGAGCATTTCAGCTAGAGGCTCTCGTGCCGAAGTGCCGGAGGGTGGAAAGAGACACACAGTGGCCTTAAGACCGTGGGAACGTCGTACGAAATACGCATCTCGCGTTGGATCCCCACCAGGCCAAGCGCCGTGGCAGGCATACCCCCGAGGCATCTTCTTTCGTGAAACAGACCATAGATATCATCGCCCTCCGCCGAGGCCCCGTGACGTCATCTGACTTGGTCTGCTTGAATCCGGCTTGGTGTCCCATCACTATGTAGTTGTAACGTCAAGTGCGTCCGAGTTATTCTACCAAATACGTATTCACTTCACTGCACGACCACTAACACTGATCAACCGACGCCATCACTTAATGTATTTTTAATCGTACGTGTTGTTTCTATGTTAGGAAAATTCGTGGCCCCGAAAGGGGCCGATTGTTTTCAATCTATCAGATGTTTTACGTAGCTAAACGCTTGCACAGCAGTAATCGTACACGTTATTCTGTGCATACCACCAGAACATTGCGTAATACTCCCGGGAACTTAATGAAAGTATCTTTATTCGACGAGCGTCGATTGAATAAATTTATTCGACGAGAATTATCCGACGAATAAAAGATACTCTTTTATTCGGATCGTTTTATTCATAGCGTCGATGATATTTTCATCTTTTATTTGTATCTTTTATCCGAAAGCTTTGAATAAATCTCCAAATAACTTTGGCCAGCCAGCCAGCTCGAAAAAAACGCGCTGGCGAGCATCGAGCGGGGAACGTCAAAGGCTAGCGACCAACAGTCGGCATACAATGTAAACAGATGTAGATGAGATAAGGACTCACGCACGAATGAAAATTTAAACTTTTACAATTTTCAATATACATATATTAATGAAAATGTCATGAATGAATTGAAGAGATTCACGCGATGAAAATGCGTCCAAATTCGAGTGTAATTAAACAATTTTTACTCATACGTAATGTTGCGGATAAAAATGATGTATTATTGAAAATAGTCTGAATGATGTCGTATTTGGACTCATTACACATTTTCGTAGTACCTGTATATGGGTATCTTCGAAGTAATAGATCAGACAGATATCAATATTTTGGTGAAATATTAAACGAATTCGACAGTTTTGTAAAATATCAAGTACGTATCGATAATTTCATTGGGTATCGAAGGGGTATCGATACCATCGTGAAGTATTAAACGGCTATTGTTTCGGTATACATATGTACATATGTAGTACCTATGAGATGTGTCAATAAATGAACATTATTAAATTACGTTATTAAAATGAACGAATGATTAAATATTGGTTATTTGTCAATTCCTTGTTTCGTATTCAAACAATTTTTGCGTCCATTGGTTAGAAATATTCATTTACTTAATATTGTTCATTCACTGGTGAAATCGGTATTTTTCCTTTTTAATTTAATTAGTTACATTTTTTCAATTTTTCAAATTGAAATTTATACGTTATAAAAAAGTACAGATCTTGGAAAATCGAATTTTCATGTGCTAAACATTAAGAAAAAAAAATTATTATCATTTAATAATTGCAAAATCTTTCACATGTTTATGGATGGGTGCGTTTACCATATCTATATTATTTTGGTATCGGATCAAGAAGTATTGGCATCAAAAATTGATAAAAAAATACCTACGATACCTTTCGATACTTCCCATTGAGTAGTTTCGTATCAAGTTGTTTAAAAATCATCAATACATATCGGTATCGGTTCGATCATATTAGTTGCAAGCTGTAAGTATATGTATATGTAGAAACGTAACGGTTCTATTGTACCTGATTTAATGGGCTTTCTTCCGATACTCGAGGCTGAATTCATCGACGTCTTGATGATCGATGCAGTGGGTAGTTTGCTGTGTAACTCATCGATCAACTTATCATCCCCGGGCGAGTTCTCTGTATCGGTGTCGCTGTCCGCGGAGCTGACTAGGGACACCATCGTGACGATATCGATGGTTCTCGAGTCGATCGAGTTTCTTCCACGGGCAGTTGATCGGTTTCGCGATTTCTCGTCCTCGTCAGTTTTGCATGATCCGGATCGCCAGGAATGCTTCTTCACGCTCCTCGAATGTTTCTTCAGGGGCGCTGATCTCACCGCCCGCCCTGATGATATCTGATTCATTTCACATTGAGATTGTTTCTTCATTTGAACGGGAGGACTCGTTTATACGCCACTGACCCTCACTTTCAATTTTTAATACTGTCTCTTTATGTATGTATTATGTGACAACCACGGTGACCAAACTGCAAGTCTTCTGAACCCTAAAACGGCCCACAGACGATTCGATCTATCCTACATCAAGTTGTACGCAAGATACACAAACAGTTGCAGAGACAGATCGTATTCATAATCGCGTTATATAACAGATTTTTAGTAAGCAATGACACGTCCTACTACAAATTGTACAACCTCGTCACAAACGTTGCAATTGCCTTTCAAACGGTTGAAGTAATTTATTGTCACCCCAGTTCTTAATTGTTATATCTCCGCTAGTTTCTAAACTGAGAAAACTGAGTTAAAAAATTTACGATGTTTAATATTATAGAAGCAGAAAAGTAGTGAAATAATCAAACACGCTATAATATCATCTACTGAATAGCTATTTATTAAAATATATACAAATTTTATCTCATTAACAACATAAATTTTGAATTGTTGTTAGTGTTGGGAGATACAACCATTAAGAAAAAAAAACTATCAAAGTTTCGGAGTTAGAACTTAAAAGAATATTTGTTGTTTTCCAGGTTGAATTTTCTTTATACATATTATATGATGAATTTGTATTCTTTGAACCAATGAGACGCACGTAGATTGATTAACTAAATTTTTTTTGAAAATTGAAGTTATAATAGTTTAGAACTCGGTGACGTTATGTTGTACAATTAGTTGTCCGATAAATCGTATCGTCTGTTGACCCTTCAACCCTTAGATACCGAAGCTCGACAAATCTGTATAATGACGGAAGGGGGGGTCACTGGTGCCCCTTACGAATTTTATATTACAAAATATTTAAAACATCACTGAAATCTGTATTAAACATTTTTATTAAGTATGTACTTCTCAATATTATTCATCTTCTGACTCCGACACGTTTTATTGCAGTATAAATTCTGCATCGCTACCATTTTTATGATCTATTCGTTTTCCTATGTGATTTCATCACCAGAATCTGATAACTAGTAAAATTTTAGTTCTATCCAACTATCAACTGTATTTCTATATAGACGACGTATTTTCGACGACAAACTGCAATAAATGCGACATCATAAAAATCTACATTAACACCAAAAGGGGATCCATTGCGAGCCCACTTATCTTATTCGTTCAATCTCAGACCGTAGAAATAAAATCACGAAGAAACTGTACGAGGCATAATTTCAAATAACAATTGACGCGGAAACGGGAAACGGAGCCAGTTCACAAAGAAACTTAAAGCAACATATTTAAATGTGGGAGACCCAAGTTAATCCGTTCAGGAATCTAAGGGTTAAAACGGCCTACAGACGATGGGATTTATCATACCTTAAGTTAAGGACAAATTGCACAGACAGTTGTAAAAACAGATGCAACATGCGTTGCAAAGTGTAGTATCTACAGTTTCGTAGTACATACTTGTATAACTCGTATTAAGACAACGATCCTAATCGTGAATGTAAAAGTCAATACATAAATATTTATATTTTTCTGGAATTCGTATTAGCAAAAACTTAGACATCCGGACGGTATCCTCTATTCTCTGAAGTCACATTACCAGTCAACGGCGTTGCTACTATAAGGAGGGAAATTGTATTTAAAAAAAGTACATACATATGTATGTATGTGTAGGTAACTTGTAATTCTTATAGAGCGCTAACCTTCATCGGGATAGAATAGTGAAGAGCCTCGGAGGCTGTCAGTACAGAATAGCTAAAATTAATAATTCAAAAATGTTTTACTTCCTTTAATTCAGTTAGTTATTTATATAGTAAGACAGTAACATTCAATTTTCAATATTTACTATGTGTATATATTATTATATATTTCATTATAAAATAATAAAAGAGCTTCAGAGGCTCTTCTATTCCGGATGAAGGTTAACAAGGTGTAACCTAAAAATAAGCAAGATCACATGAAATGATCGATTACGATCAGTCTAATGTTCAAAGTGTTAGAAGAATTTTAAATGATAGGATAGATCGTTCTCCTGACACGACAGTGACCCACACCGTAATAAACAAAAGGTCTTTTTTCATTTTATTTTTATTCAGGATAGATATTTTTACAAAGTTCCTACCTTTATCGAAGTTGCATCTAATCTTTTTGGCGCGCTATCTTTACTATCTGCGGTCGTCTTATCTTGATCGTTGCTTTTCATCGGAATTATTGGCGTGTCGATAACAATATTCACTTGAACACGATTACCAGAAACGTGTCCCGAATGCCTCTGTGGTGGAGCCGAGCTGGTTCTTCTCGATTTTTGATCGGTTTTCTGGACTTCCATTTTCTTCGACAGTGGTTGTCTATCGTTCACAGAGTTGCATCGAATTTCCGACGTCTGCCTTGTGAACGCGCCTTTCTCGATCGCGGTACCATCTTTACTTTCCACAACCGTACTCAGAGACCCAGTCCTCTTAACCGTCAAAGGAATTATTTTATTACCGTCACATGCTTTCTGTATTGTTGTATTATCTATCGACGGATCTTTACTTTCGATCAATGTTTTAGATCGCGAATTTCTTTCAAACGTTGATGTTGTTCTGGTATCTACAATGATCTTCTGAGTCACACTTTTGTCGGTAATCGTAGCACACTTAAAATCTGATGTATTCTTTGAGATTACCATTTTGTCAACTCCAACGTTGTTTTTGTTTTCTGGAGTTCGAATGGACGTGCTTTTTTCGAGTTTGACATCTTTGGTAAGTTTAGGGAATGCAGATTTTTCCGTCGTTGTGTTCCATTTGAATTCGGTCGAGGATCTAATTGGATCGAGGAAAGCTCTGTTCGCGCCGCTGTGAAAACTGGCCCGTTTTTGCTTCGCATACGAAAAATTATCTTTTGATATTTTTAGAGCAGTCGGCGTTGAACTTTCCCGTCTAATCGATGACAATATCGTGGAACAGTCGGTGGTCATCGATGTCTTGTTTTTGACGTTAGAAGTGTTGGCAGTAAAGTCGTCGATATTTGAGCGTCTTGGTATTTGCTTCAATAAAGAAAGAACTTACAAGTTATTGGAAAGTTTATTAATAAAACATTTAATGAATTATGGATTGAACTGCCAGCATGGAAAACGTTTTGGCTAATAAAATATTCAAATGCTTAATATAATTTGTACCAGTAAAATGAGTAGGACATTGGTTTGATGCAATTACGTATTGAACTATGTATATATCAAATGCTAAAAGTCTCTACAATTCTAAATTTGCTTAAATAGGTCTATTATAGTCTATAATTAATACTTTTGAGATATTGAAGTAAGATTGGTAAATTGTATGTTAATTGCAGCACAAAATAGTACCTGAACTGTCCAAACACGACAATTATTGTTCTATTATATCAATCGTTGCACCGAAAAAAATGACGGTAACTTTCGAACTCCTTACACTGTAGTGCTGTCCAACTTGGCTCTCGGAAGGGGCCCCTCACACGCCTGTTTCCCCTTTCAATCATTTTTTCGCGCCGTGTGCCTTCGTAGTTTGTAAAAACAAAGAAGCTCAGTTTCCTAACCAGTCACCTAACCCAGACTCTTGTCTCTGTTCCTCCACGACTGGCTCTAAAGACCCAAATTGGACAGCACTGCTTTACAGTCTCATAAACTTTCATCACCATTTATTTCATTAAATATATTATACATTTCCATCACTACATCCATAACAATATTTTCCTATATTCATGTGATCATATTTTTTTTGGATACTTTGTAGGTTACTATACTTACATCTTGCGTCCCTTCCAAATCACTCTTCTCTGATTCCTTTTTCCTTGCAGCCTCAAAAATTTCGTTTCCCTCTAACGCTATATTCTTTCGTATTTTGTGACAAAAATCCTTAAAATCTGTCAGTTTGTCTCCATCTTTTGACAGAACCTTATCTTCTTCCGTTGCAATCGTGTTCGACTTCATCATAACATTTTCCACTTTCTTCGCACGGTTCCCATCGAAGTCCATACCAATTTCTGATTCTTGAATTTGTTCGTTGTGTATCGATGTGCAGCCAGTAGACATGGGAACATTTAGTCTGTTTTTGTCATTTTTTAGCAACGGGAATGACGGAGCGGTGATGGTCGCGTGGTTGGACATTTCCGAGTCGCATCTTTCTTCTACGATTCTGTGAGCCAGAACAATATTGATGTTCACCTTATTCTCCTCCCGGTGTTTCCAAGCCAGCCTCAATCTTTCCGCGAGTTCTTGTCTCGAGTAAAGAATTGGCGGCTTTTCCATCCCGACGTAATCACGGCTCTTTGCGGTGGCTGGCCTGGAACGTCCAGGGATTTGACGAGCCACCACTTCCACTTGTCCCAGCTGTTTTTCATTGTTCCGGCGATTCTCGCTCCAGGCCACGCGAACCTAAAATATGTACGTCGTCGGATTAGTACATACCTTATTTAATCATCTTACGATTATATTTCAAGAGGATAATTTTAGTTAGATCATTGGAATGTACTATTAACCCTGCTGTTCGCCTCACTTATTCTTCCAATTTGTATTCCTTTGAATAAAAATATTTCACATTTTAAAATGATTTGTTCTTAAGAAATGGAAAATACATACAAAAAGTAGATATGAAATTTAAATGCGTCGGATACTAAAAGCAAATAGTTGTAAACATATAATACTTATCGACTTAGAAACATAATCTTCATTTCGGGTCATATACGTATGTATGTAGATCCGAGGAGAACAGCAGGGTTAACCTATTACGTCCCAGACAGTGAAATAAAACGATTTTTATACGTATAATTATTTATTACTTATAAAAGTGTGTAAGAAAGAATATAAATCCTATTAAAAACATTTTTGGATTGGTACTTTCTATAACTTTGGGTAATCTTTTATTGAAAAACGTAAATAAAATAATTTAGATATTATTTTGCCGAAATATGAAAAATGCATTATAATACTAGACATCATAATATTATACATACAAGTGACTATATGATAAAGATATTAAACAAATCTTCAAAATCCCTTTTCATAATTGCGAGAGAAAAAACAGACTTCAATAATGTAAATTCACTGAAGAAAAAGTAGGAGTGAAATGTTGCGTTCAGGGGTTATGCCTACCTGCGAGCTCGAAAAAAGACATGTACTTTCGGAATTTATTTTTAAAAAACTTGAAGACTTTTTTAAACGTACGTCATTGTATTATAAAGTATACATTCTAAAGTGCTCATAATAATTTCTTCAATGCAAAATATGAATAAATAGGGGAAATATCAACGATCTCCCGGCGGCGTTTTGCTGTGACCACTGTAACTTCGAGTTCGTACATCTAAAATAAAAAATCCGAGCAAATTTAGTTAATGTATTAAATTATGTAGTGCCCGTTCGTTCATTATCCTGGAAAATTAATTTACGACAAAATGGCGGCTGTTCAAAATCAAAGTATCGATTTTCGCCAAAAAAATCGTTCATTTTTTATCTATAAAATAAAAACTACACAATGAAATACAAAAAGCCACGATCAGGCACTAGATTTTTATGTATAGAATGAGTCCACCAAATCTCAATCAGTTCGGTGCAGCGGTTCTCGAGATATTTTGGTTACCGATTTTGAAAATGTGTTTTTGAGAAAAACACGTTTAAAGTCTCAAGTCAGGAAAGTTTCAGTCAAAGCATTATTACGGCTTCATATAGCTTTGTGTATTTACTAACACAAACATAAATAGCATTTGGACATATTCATGACTCATGCACCCCTAGAAAGGGATTCTACCACTTTATATCTGCTCCGAAACTTCCAAAGCCATATACTTTAAACGGGCGTAACTTCGCCAATTTTGGTTGGATCAACATCAAACTGTCACATAATATTTCTAAAATGATGTACTGTAAGAAAATATTAAAACCCAAAAATCGATTTTTTCAAAATTTATAGGTAGGCATAAACCCTTAACACAACGTTCGGACCTAATGTGTTAAGTGTACCAAATAAGTAACTTACTAATAAGAGATTTGCTGTTAAAAGTTATTACTGTAGGCGCTATCGAGTATACATCGTGACTTTCTAGAAAAATTGTTCCAATGTTTCGTCAGAAGATCGATAAGATAGAAATAGAGATTTAATTATTCGTTAGATGGGTAATTAATGCGTTCTGTTGAGTTCATGTATGAGTAATGGAAATTCTCAAAGTGATATTTGTGTATTACTGTCATCATAGAGTAACGTGTTATACAGTACATAATGGAAAATACCTACATATGTAGTCGATGAAATAAGTTGCTTTTATGTTTGAATATAAAAGTTTTGTTTTCATATGACGAAATTTTCATTATTTATCTATTAATTCAATATATTATCGTGGTAGACGAAGAAAACTTAGTAAAAATACTATAAAAAATTTAGGTAAACCTTTAATTCCTGTGTATTCTAACGTAAATATTACGTCTAAACTGCGGATGTTTATGTAAATTCAAATTTCCATGAACCAAAATTTATTCGTTTCATTAATACTTGTTCGATATTCAGTATTAAATAAAAAAACTTTATTGAATATTATAAAAGTTTTTAAGTATTCTGGTTTGGTTTTGCGTTATTAACGATACCTTGGGTCTTTCCGAATCAGGTTTACCGGTACCGCGATTACCACGTGCAAAGGGGTTCGCGCAGATATGTAACGACTTATCATCCTCTGCTGATCTTTGTCGCCTGATTTGCTGTCGACGCGGTGCCGGTTGTTGCAAGGACAATTGCCTGATTGGTTTCGCTGATTTCCCGAGTCCTGACATTCCGACTCTCGAATGCACCCACTGAGACTACATTCTGCAACAATTTTAATTTCTTCAAATCATTAAAATACAACTAACCTAAAAATCGAAGTAAAAAGAAACAGAGAATATCCAAAATAGTTCATCAACTTCGAATGAGCCCGAACTTCGACAATAACATTCTAAATTGTTTCAAAATAATTCTCTAAGAATAATATTAATCACGAACACAAACCTAAATTTTATAATACAGTCTTAATCGAAAAGAAAACACTTCGATAGCTAGCCCCGTGATGTAAAGAAAAATAGAATAAATTGAAGCGTTAAACGAATTCAATTGTTGAAAAATTTAATGGAAGAAGACATACTCGTAGGTGAATTACACTCGATATACATATTCAGTCGTTGGTTAATACATACTCGATTTCTTCGTGATCAACGGAAAGGATCCTCGGAACGTAAGCACGACGGATGAACTTCCATCGTGGTTGCGACGCAAGCGAACGCCGACTGACTAACTTCATCCATTGCCCTCTGACACGATCGTTCACCACCACTGCCATTTCACCGATCTACCCCTCGTGTTACGTGCCTACCACCAACAATCGGTGCTCGTGCGTATATACTGTTGGCCACCAACACGCCGTCGTCGCCTTCGCCCTCTCCTCCCGACGAGTGGGGTAGTTGAACGATGTGTATTACTCCCCTTAATTCGAACGACGCCCGATACTACCACCGTTCTCCGGGCTACACCGTCATTTTCATCACTGCACGCCCCGGGCACAGCATAGGGGTGGTCGAACCCACTCACGTATATATACTCTAAACTCTAGCATGAATTGCCCCCCTGGCTCGCGAGTCAGTGGCCCAATGCCGCGTGCTTTTGGACACCCTGATGGTAACCAATGACTGCTGTCGAGGACGCAGTACTCGGTACGGGGTTACAATGTACTCATCCCCCTTAGGTTACGGTTACACTGGACGCGTATTCGGACGACTAGTCTGACGTCCGTATACAGCTAGTGATGGGTATCGGTTAGGTATCGGTTAGAGAGAGCATCAACCTTAGTCAGGGGTGCGTTTCAACCCAGAACGCAGGCGGTAGTCTCTGATGTAGCTGATATTTACTCTTCGGAGAAATTTCGGTAAAGTCCGGTGGACTATCGTTTTGCGTCGCGTTCCTTGTATTCACTAGGGAGGGGGGATACGCGATCTACTCTAACTCGTTTCCACCGCTTTAAAATCACAACCCAGCTTTCAATTAGATTAAATTCAATTGGCGATGGATTCATTTATGGTACATCGCGGCTCCCGGGAGAGGTGATCGACGAACCCGACCACGTCTTTCCTCGAGGTCGGCTAGAACGGCCTCCCCATGTATCGCTATTGGTGTCCCGGGACTCCCTCCTTGTCCTTGTTTGGGGGGTGGTAATTTTGACAATGGATAACCAGAGGAGGGGTGGGGGGTTCCTGAATTATTCGGGACATAGGCAGGTAATTGATACGGGGTTGAAATAGGCGATAAAGCTCTCTCTCGATGATGGCTGTACAAGCACGGTGTTACCACCCTTGTACAGACTCGGTCTGTGGGTGAAGCAAAGGGTGAGCTGGTATTCACTTTGGAGATGAAATTTTAGTTTATTAGGTAAGGATGGGACGATCCTGGTGACTCTCCACCCCGCACGAGTAGTTCCCCACCTTCATGTGGCCCGGGCCTAGCAAAAGTTGGGCGGGTTGGAAAGTCGGGGATATATAGCCCCCGGGTAACGCCTACGGTAGTCCCAATAGCGGGGCTACGGGATAGCTAAAGACACAATACGTCATAGCTGGGCCTTGGAGGGGTGTACCGACACTCCTCTCTCACGGGAGAATATTCAAACTTAAACTTAAACTTAGGTATGGGTTAGCTTGCTCGAGCGCTCGTGCCGTATGCACGTCCGAATTAAACGCCTCTAAATCAATGGGAGTGGTTATACTGCACGCGTATCGGTCGTCCGATGTCGCACGCGTTCGTCGTATACGAGCGTCAAAACGCACGGGAAATTGCCGACACGACATCACTTCAACCGTTATATTTTAGTTATTTTTCAACATAGGGCTCTGCTTTAATGCTCATTATAAAGTTGAAGGAATATTGTTTTCAAGTTTATGCACAAAATTTTAAAAACCACTACTAATACTAAAGTAATAGAAAAAAAAACAAACACTCCTCTTTTGCAACAAAAAATTAACTACATACAAATTACCAAGTTGAACAGCAAAAACGACTATGTACATCAATATGAAAAATAACTATTAATATAACCATTAATGTAAGGAATAATGTTAAGTAAATAATGAAATGGTTAATAAGGTAAATAGTTATTTTTCATATTGATGTACATAGTCCTTTTTGCTATTCAACTTGGTAATTTGTATGTAGTTAATCTGTAGTAGTGGTTTTTATAGTTAATGTACTAATAGGGACACGTGGAGTTTACGCTGTTCAAGAAATTCTTATCGGAGAATTACGAGATCCGTTGGTTCGGCTTTACCGGAGCTATCGCTTTCAAGTACCTTGCACGAAGGTGCTACGAGAGCAAAGCATAGGCAAGCATAGCCTGGGGCCTGAACTAGAAAAACATTCAGTTCAAGTGTCACAAAAAAGGTTTCCCGAAACCTCACCGCACCAGGTCGGAGGAAAAATCAAACTGACTTGAACGACCTGTGTATACGGACGATCTGGAATAATTTAGGAACCCCCCCTCCACTGTTTACACTTTGTCAAGATTACCACCCCCCTTCAAGGTCAAGGAGGGAGTCCCGGAACTCCGATAGTGATACATGGGGAGGCAGTTCTAGCCGACCTCAAGAAGAGACGTGGTCGGGTTCGTCGATCACCTCCCCCGGGACCCGCGATGAACCATAAATGAATCCATCGCCAATTGAATTTATTCTAATTAAAAGCTGGATTGTGATTTTATAGCGGTGAAGACGAGTAGAGTAGATCGCGTTTACCCCCTCCCTAGTAGTTTTCCAGGAACGCGACGCAAAAGGATCGTCCGTCTCGAAAGTTCTACGGATGTTCTCAAGACTTAAATTTCGCATGTTCTAGGACTGTCCGTTTCTTAAGTCTTACGAATGTTCGTAGGATTTCAACTACGGATGGTTTCGTTTAGTAATTTGGACTGAATATCATTCCGTGCAAGGTGAAGGAACCCCATCAGCGGGGTGTCATTCATTAGAGAATCAATGGAGAAGTGTAACGACATTAGTGGTTGTGTGTGGAAACCTCAGAAAATTTGAAAAAATATGTTTTTTTTTCAAACTGTCTCTAACCAACACACAATCAGTAGTTTGCTTTGAAAATAAAAATAAATACAATGTACACACAGATCATAACCCCCAAACCTATACAGTAATGTCCTGATAAGTGTGAGTCGATTTGCTCACGATAAGTGTGAAGTCGTCATCCCCACCACTGGGGAAGGGGGCCGTGGAACCAGTCAAGCGTATAATTTTTTGCCCAGCGCACCGCGACGGCTTCCCTTTCACGAGCCGACGGCTGAACGAGGAGAACTAATGCAACGATGAAACTTTTTGTTTTTGGTTCTTTACTAACGAAACTTTTACGAACATATTCGTGAAATTTTTCTGATTAAAATGATACCAAACACGATATAATTTGGATCATATTTACTTATGATTTATCACAAGCGCTAATGAACAAATATGAATTGTTAACACTTTTTACATGAGTAAGTATGATTCAAATTACGTCGTATTTAGTATCATTTTAATCAGAATAATCTCACCAATATACTAGTAAAAGTTTCGTTAACAACGAATCAAAAAGAAAAAAGTTTCATCGTTGCATTAGCGTTGTCTCACCGATACCTGGGAATGTAATCTTTTCGTGATTTCCCTTCGTTCAGCCGTCGCATTGACTCGTCGAAAAAAAGTCTCTTTCTTCTCACCGACTGGCACGACGGACTCGACGGACAGAGACCGGGAAAATGTATATGTGTAATGTCCGACGCTTCGTCGAAGCGTACAATCCTCAGCGACTGCCCAGAGAGCTGCCGACGAATGAACTTAGCTGGATCACTTTGGTCACACATATTTTTATTATTGACCGAAACGGTACACACACAATCGGACTGTGTGACGAAGAGAACGAACGAGACACATCGAGACCGAGTAAGATAACGCGAACCGCAGCGATTACAATGTAACCGTTGGCCCGTGGAGTGGAAAGAGATGCTTTCTCTTTTTGTTTTTCACTCGTTTGTCCTTTTCTATGTCGGAACACTACAAAGGCAAGCTGCCGATGCTCGAGCGTCGAGCAAAAAATAGATTGACGAGATGCTGACAACTGCTGTCCGTGCTCACCGTGAGTGTGACTCTGCGGAACCGAAGCATTCACACTTATCACGACATTACTGTATTCTCATTATACACAATTCCTCATAGAAAATTTAAACTTTTACTGATTTAACTTGATCTAATTTATACTAGGTTTGGAATTCGCAGGAAAGTTAATCTTTTGAGAATGTTGACACAAGGTCTTAGGACGTTCCATTTTGTAAATAGGACCTTTCTAAGATATTTAAAGACCTTAACGACGACGTTGGAGGGACATGTGGACATCCTGTTCGGGACATCCACGATTGTACCGAATTACCGAACGAATGTAACGAACGTCCGGAACGTACCCTCATAACCAGTTGTGTACAAGTTTCGATCAAATTGCCAACAATAAGTGATCAAAGTTGGATAAAAAACCATAGCCATCTGTTTCCGATTTGACTTGGGTTTTGCAGGCAACGCCAGCTGACAAAATGGTAAAGCAAATTCACAGAAAGTTTTGCAACATGACCTATATGTGTCAAATTGAGAGCAAAACCAGTACAAGGTTTGCGCAAGCCAATTTGCTGCATATGTTTCTGCCAATGTGCTGCCAATGTATACGCAGGGTGTTTATAGCAAATCTTGCATCAAACTTGTAGCGATAACTTTATAACAGGCATTGGACAAAATTT